CGAACCGAACCGAACCGTGAATTTTGTGTATCGTTGCACCCCTAGTTTTAAGAGAGCTTAAAGGAGCTTTTTATCCCTGAAAATTTCATGTAGCTAACTTGTTTAAGTCATAAGGTCAAATCTGACATGTGTTACATTTATTAAATATACATTATATATATAAGTTATCATCCAAAAACATCTCAGTTGATTCAGAGGGTGATTGGTTTTGGTTGGATCGGATTGGATTTGGATTGGTGATTGGTTATCCAGCTCCTTTCCTCAGGCTGAGTTCACTTCACATAGAACAAAGTTTTTTAATAACTTTTTTAATGACTCTTTTATGTATGTATTGTTTTTATTACTGCCATGAAGAGACTAAATACAATTTTATTTTGGAGCCTCGTGTGGTGGGTGAACATCCACGTTAATTCTGCAGACGGAGAGGACGGACAGAGAGGAAAATGCGAGAGACATTGTTTGCATTGTTGCTCTTGTTCCTGCCATGTCAGGCAGTTCATGATGTAAGTAACTGGCTGGCCACAATGAGACAAAGAGATAATGAGAAAAAGAGAAATTAAATCAGCAACACAGAGTCGTGTTTTCTGTTTTTACTTGCTCAGTATGTATACAAGCACACTTACATTTAAAAACTGCACTTAGCGCCTGTGTAAGAGCTGAGATGCCAGCGGCTGTGATGGTGTAAACTCAGGAATCAGGAGGAATAACGGAGAAACAGGCATGTGGACGTAAATCTGATTTGTGAGTTGAACCGTGGTTGGCACAGATTCGGCAATATCTCGGATGTAAAAGTGGACATTTCTGTGTTGTATTTACTCACTCCTCACTTGTAAGGTCCTGTGTGAGTTTAACCCGATCTCTGAAGCACCCTAGGGAGTACATGCTTTCCAGGACATCAGGGTCAAGCTCAGTTAAGGACAGTATCCTCTTCATACACACTCGGCGAGGGGGAGGCTGCTCTGGACAGGGCTCGTTCCGACCGCCCCTGGCACAAAAACAAAAAGTCAGTCTATTTAGGCTGTGTAATTAAAAATGCTTTCTCTGAAGAAAGTTTAGCATGTGGTGCAGTGAACACCGCCACATCAGCCACAGGCTTTCATATTTAAGTATAAATAGATCTGGTTTAAGCATGACTATTGAAAGAGATAGTAGAGGTAGTATTGTTTCACTTACACCCTGACAGAAAATAAAAATGTGAGAATAACTGAAAAGCTTAATTTTGCTTTCCAAAATCCAGGCCGGGAGCTACTCTTGGTCTCCAAGACTGCAGGACTGAAGAGAGAAATCCCAAAATAGATCACAGGATTCACTCACCTACTTGTAGTTAACGCTCACTGATGGTGTACTTTATGTATGAGACACGGTATTTCAGTACCAGCGCGACTTAAAAGCTTTATATTTAAGAATTGGAATTAGGAAAGACATCTTATGATTCCATAAAATGCTATTTGACTTTGTTAAATTTAACAAGGGGAAATTCTGCAGAGATTTCTTACGGTTCCTTTGAAGGATCATAGTAAGCTGGTATGTATAAAAAGTCAGCAGGGGTGGAGGTGCATTGAATAGAGAGGGGAAAATGTAAAATGCAAAAAAAAAGCCAGACGGACAAAAGAACAAAATAAAAAGTTAAATATACTTACAGGTACCAGGGGTGTTTCTGTATTGCTTCAAGCTGTATTGAAAAAACACAAGCCAATATTAAAGCACATTAAAGCATATTAAAGAGACTTATTGTGACTTATTTACATGTACAATCACATCTCAACTCTGGGTTCTGGGAAAAATGTCAGCGTTTTTAGGGAAAGCACATCTGTTTATGTTTGATATAACATAAAATGATCACGTTTATGATAATGATTGAGTGATTAATCATAAATTACCTATAATTTTGAATAAAAATTTTAGTAGATTTACATTTTCAGTAACTCCACCCATGTTCTAATGTCATATTGTGTTACCTGATGTGAGCTTATCATGCTAAAATGATGATTGTTAATAGAAATACCATTATTCTAATTATGTTAGCACAGCTGAAATACGTGCGCTATTTTAAGAAGCAGTATGTTTAGCGTCTGTGTGTCATTTGTCTCATTTGACCAGTTTCGTGTTATATCGGACCATTTGCTTCATTAAAAAAACAAAAAACATCTCAAAATGAACCCAGACTTCTGACCCAAACCCATATTTTACAACTACAAGTCCAAAAATAGTTGTGAAGTTGTATAAAATGTACATAAAAACAGAACAGAATGATTTGCAAATCTCACAAACTCACAATTTTTTTCACAAAGTAGAAACCACTGCTTCTTGTTTGCTATTGCATTCGAGCTCTTTAACACTCAGCAGCCTAATTTTTTAATTACACGATGTTTTCCATTGGTGAAAAAAAAGACATCGTCTGGATGGAAGCATATGTTGCTCTAAAACGTGCACTGATGCCCCCTCAGTTCAGAAACTCTCATCTTTGGTCCCTCACCTTTTTAGTCCAGGAGATGCAGGTCCATGTTTTTCAAAAGGACTTTCAAATTTCAGTTAATCCGACCACAGAAAAGTTTTCCACTTTGCCTCAGTCCATTTGAAATAAGCTTTGCCCAGAGAAGACAGTAGCATTAACCTGCATTTGGGTGTGGCGTCGTGTGTTCACAGACAGTGATTTCTGGAATTGTTCCTGAGCCCATGCACCGATTTACAGGACAGAATCGTGTCTGTTTGTTGCAGATTCGTGAACCCCTACCCATGTTTTCTTCTGAGTCTTTCTAAGATGTTCTTTTTACACGCACTTGTATTACTGACCTGATGCCGGTTAACCTTATTAGTTGCAAAATGTTCCTCCAGCTGTTTCTTTTAGTACCACTTACTTTTATTGCCTTTTGTTGCCCCATCCTAACTTTTTAAAGACATGTTACAACGGTGATCTAAAAGAAGCCATTTTTCTTACAGGGAAGGTAATGAAACAATGTGAAGCCCATCTTATTAGTGGAAGTATTTCAATCTCTACAGGAGAGGACATAAAACCCAGGTCAAACCATGCAATGCTCAGAAGAACCCACGAGCTACATCTCAGACTGTTTAAAAAGAACATGCCACTACAGCATTGTTTTGCAGTTATATCTGAATAAACCACAAAGCCATAGTCCAGACCACAACCTCACTGAGATGCATAAATGACTGCTCACAAACCTCACTGCACTGAAGCAACATTGTAAGGGAGAGCGGACAGAAAATTCCTCCACAGTGATGATGATGAGTGATTGATGAAGTACAGAAAATTTACTTGAGGTTATTGCTACCAAAGGTGGTTCCACACGCTGCTAATGTACTCTGTTTTTCACAGCTCAGTTTATTAGGTGTTAGCTACTCTTTCTAGCTAGCTAAGATTTGACAGGCTAACATGATGGTCAACAAGCTAAGTATTTTTATCTTCATTATATCAACATGTCAGCAAGGTCAATATAGTTATATGAGCTAACTGGTGGAGCATTTAGCCAGTAAAGGGCCACAGATTCTAGTTTTCACAACATGGTAAAAAGTTTCCCTGCAGCAGTCCTACATGCCCTCGTACATTAGATTCTCTGCATTAGGACTGCATATAAGTAGAAGCCATCCCATCAGTCCTGTGCAGCATCTCTTGGGGCTAGAATAATGAAGCAGCTGCAGTTCTGCAAGTGTATAACAGGAGAAAGTGGGCCTACTGTGTAAGCACTGCATTTATACATCTGCAGAGAGGAAACTTGCAAGCATCTGCACACAGCTAGGGATTTGCATTGGTGAACTTGCTTACAAAGAACTGCAGACAGGAGCCTTTCCAACCGCCTCCTGTTATAAATTAAATGTGATGAAACACTAAAGATTTGTTGCTTTATTTGATCTTAACTACTATTAAACTGGTGTGGAATCTGTCTCCTTGTGCAGTGGGTGGTTTCCATGGAGGCAACGAGGAAGCGGATAGAGACAGAGAGAGTGAGGGAGAGACAGTCTGACCTGGTTTCAGGCTCCATTAATCAACAGCTCATCAGACAAACTCACAGCTTTGATTAAATCTGCTGTAGTAGACTAACTAACCAGACTTTTCCTCCTCTCTGTCCTTATTTTACAGCCCTCTGTGACACACATTGTCACAGTTGTCCCCATCTACCTGCCTGTTAAGCATGAATTAATTTCCACACGATTGCTTTATCTCAACTTCATTTTATAACCTGAGTGCAATGGAACTTCATCTAGCTGCCCAGATCATTCACTCATTTCTTTATTCGTTCACTTACTCACCCTACCAGTCTTTTCTTTTTCAAAAATCTGACCTTTCGTTAGAAAAGGTTTTGAGTTCCTGGATTCATTTAAAAAATACAAACTTGCGTCTAAGAATAGAAACAACAAATAGTGGTAGTTCTGTCATTGCTGACTCTACTTCTGTCTTTCAGCAAAACCTTACGGCCATGCCTCTGCTCACTCCTACCCTCCTCGTTTCTCTCCTTCATCCTCCCTCTGTAAGGTCTCGTGTCAGGTTTAATGTCTGTCACATCTTGAAGCAAACCCAGAGGCCGGGTCTTTTCTTTTCCCCTCATCCACCCTTTTAAATGTCCAGGCCACGTGCTGTAAAAAATCCGATAATCCCCACCCTCCTTTGCTACTTTTACGACACCTGAAAGGCTTTTACATTTGATGCAATTTACAGGGATTATGGAAGCAGATCTAACATTAAAATTAGTTTCTGAAACAGCATGATGTTGATTTTAAATAGAGGAAGACAAAAACAGGCCTTTCATTTTAATGGTGCTACAGTTTATCTGGCTGAAATGTCACTGACAAATCATACAAATTGCAGGTACTTAGCTAGTTCAGTTAACACTACATTCCACAGTTCAGTGAAACAGCATCTCCACCTTTATTTTTCGAAATTTTAAAAATGGGAAACGTGAACAGACCGGTAACACACACAATACTGTTCCATAACTCATGTAGGAGAAAAAGAATTATAGTTTAGTGTTAAGATAGTTACCAAGTACATTTTGATAGATAAGTACATTTTGAGATTACACTGATTTTTACCAATTATTAGGCTACTGCACGTGTTCATATTTCCAACCAATGAAGGAGCTTGCAAAGAAAAGCGTCTGGACTTCTTTAAGTTGCTTGAAAACGTTTCACCTCTCATCTGAGAAGCTTCTTCAGTTCTAAGGTCAAATGGTGGAGAGTCCCAGATTTAAGCCCTGTGGGAGTGTCCCCCGCCCCAAGAGGGTGAAGAGGTGAAACGGCTTCAAGCAACTCCAAGAACTCCAGAAGCTTTTCTTTCCAAGATCCTTAAACTACGATGACTTGGATGACTGAGAACCTTCACAGACATATTTCCAACGATCCATTCCACTTATCCTTGCTAAGTTGCGCTGGAGCCTATGCTAGCTACCATGGGCTAAGAGGCAAGGTACACCTTGGACATGGTGTTAGTCTGTCAGAGGGCTAACAAATAGAGACAGACAACCAATCGCACTGATGGGCAATTTAGCATTACCGATTAACTTCACCCCACTAACTGCATGTCTTTGGACTGTGGGTGGAAGCCAAATTACCCGTAGAGAACCCACACAAGCACAGCGAGAACATGCAAACTCCACACAGAAACGCCCCGGCCAGATGGTGGAATCGAATCATGAACCTTTTGCTGTGAGGCAACAATGCTAATCACCATGCTGCCTATGTGTTCATATTTCAATAAATATAATTTATTTCAATGTCATGAGGCAAACAACTCACAGAATGGGTAATAATTTATGGCTTTGACTCTTAGCTGGTAACACCGGCTAGGACCTCCGACTGCGACAAGCAGGACCAACCTGCTATCTGTGCAGGCGGTATTCTTAAGGAAGTAAGGAACTAGCTTGCAGATATGCTAATGAATGTCGGTCAGATGAGCAAGTCCAACAATGTCTTTATCTGGAACAATCCATAGCCTGACAAGTTAGCTTAAAGTCAGCCATAATTACAAAATGTTTAGTTGTGTTCGTTGTAGACAAAATGAATCAAATTAGAGTACACTTTTTGATTTGTATAGTCATGCCTAATCTTGTGGGTTGAAGCTCCTTCATTCTCCTTCCGATAGATTTTAACAGGAAAACGAAAAGAATTCAGAGAGAGCTCTTCATCTTTGCTTCCAACATGATGTTGGATAACCTCTTCAATGTCACTGTAGTTACATATCTTGTGCGTTGCTGCATTATTATTATATAATCAACGAAAACTAAAACATGGGCTCAGAAAATCTAGGTAAATCACCATCAGCTAATGTTGGTAATAGTGACATGTTCCCTTCTTACCGTTAGTCTCTTGTCAGAGTTGACTTCTATCATTCCTTTGAGCAAAGCTTGGCAGTCAGGAGGTATAAAGTGTGGCATGTGGAATACTCCACTTTTCACTTTCTCTAGAAGCTGCCGCAGGTTGTCATGATCAAAAGGCAAGGCACCCTGGAAAGTGACGGCAGACGATGGAGAGAGAAAGGATGAGATTAAGAAGTACTGGTGGTTTAATCAAAAAGAAGAACTGCTCACCAGTCTGCAGCTGGCAACTTTGTGTCAAAATTGTTTTCCCAGTCAACCCTAACCATTTAAAGTCTTTATGTACAGATATCAGAATTGCTTTTTTGGTCCAACTCTTCTATCCAAATTGAGATGTATCTCATCTAATAATAGCTGGTGGCATTCAGAGTAAGTACCAGCTCCACACGTTACACCTTATGATATCCTGAGGACTAAGGACATGAACATGTGAAGCTGTGGACACCACTGATAACCAAGGCTGCTTCAAGTCCACCTTAAGGAAGATTAGTTTGTGCAATGTGGTATAGTGTCTTGCAGACAAGTCCCAAAAAACTGGAAAGCACTTAGACATGTGCATGGCACCTTGCATTTATGATGTGACAATTGACATCACTCAGACCCAAGTGGACCCTCGAATGTCGTGTCGAACTGATAAGCTCTAAGTCATCATCTGTAACGAACCCAGTCCTAACTCTAAATCCATCCCAGGGCAATCAGAATTTTTACTTCTTCTTCGTGTTAAGTAGTTCTCTCTTGTCTTGGTAATCAGGAAACAAAGAAAAATAATAAATAAATAACTCTAACACATTTCAAAAACTATTCAGATTTTTTCCAGAATGATCCATTTGGCCTTTCTCCAAGATATAAAGTTAGGACAAATCACCCAGGGTGACCTCAGAGGGGTAAAAGCACATGGCAGACCTCAGCCAAGATCTTGGAAATCAGATCACTGTTATTAACCCACATCAAATATTATCCATTGTTTAGCATTTATTGTGAAAGGACTGTGGAAAAAGACAGGAAAGCTGGGAGGGAGAGTGGGGGGAAGACCTGCAGTATATGGCCTCAGGGCACATTCCACCTGGACCTCTTTAATAACCGTACAGCATATGGTCCCCAGCTTTCTTTCTTTCTTTTCGTCAAAGAAGTACTTTTTGTTCATCTCTCAACCACAAGGTTCAGTTTTGGGTTACGTGGTTACAGCTAATAACTGAGAGCTCAAAGAGTAAATGTTCTAAATAGACATAAGTCGTACAATCATACAAAAAAGAAAAGAGTACACAATATAAAAAAGAGATATAAAAACCCCAGAAGCTGAGAGAATCTTCTTACCACGAGGAGAGCAAACAGAATGACTCCACAACTCCAAACATCCGCCCTACGACCATCGTACTTCTCACCCTGAAACACCGCAGTGGGTTAATGTTACACATGCAAACACACACAAAAGACATCATTCATTTAAAGTAGGTAACTCACCCTTATGACCTCTGGGCAAGCATAGTGGGGAGATCTGAAAGGAAAGAATTATTTTATTCACCAAGATATCAAAAACGCTTTCATGGATGTTGATTGTGTTGTGATCTGAGAGTACAAAAACTGAGAACACCTGCTTTTTAATCCACAGACTGAAAAGGTGAATCCAGGTAAAACCTACAATCTGTTGCTAATTTTATCATTTAAATCCACACTCCTCCCAATGGGCTGAGCGTTTGAGCTTTGGTGAATGCTGCCATTGATTATGTAAAAAGCACAATGGATGTTTTATGGGTTGCTTAAATTCATTAAAATACTAAGATACTGCACACATGCTATCTGTTTTATTCATTACAATAAAACTGATAAGACAACTGAACCACAAAATCTTCTTTGTGGTCTTTGCCCATACTCACCCACAGCTGGTTTCCAGCAGACTATCCCCAACTTGTAGCGAGGCCATGCCAAAGTCTGCTATCCTGATGTTGTTCTTCTCATCCAGGAGAAGGTTCTCTGGCTTAAGGTCTCTGTGACTGAACATACAAACACTCAATGAAAGCACTGAAGTATTTTTTCCAAGCCGTAAGTAGAAAGAAGAAAGGTACTTATTTGTATATTTGGTTGACTAGTTTGACGTGAACATTCATAGCACAGTGTTTATTAAAGGTTAGGCTTCTGGAAGAGAAAGCCTCCATGTGGTTCTAATAGGGACCTGGTTTCAATCAGACCAATTATATAAGCAGGTGACATGGCACTCAGATAATGCTAAAAAAATCAACCTGTGTTAGAATTCAAACACAGATGGTGATTGTCATGACTATGCCTCCAAAGAGCCAATCAGCAGTGAAACATGTAAGCCAATCAAGTTGCATATGTGTCACGTTCAGTGTACGTTACCCACACATTACTAACAGTCACCAAAATTTGTATCCACAGTGTAATTTTGTTTGAGTCACCACTAAATATGAAATGAGGAATTTGAAAAATCGCTGTTATCTAACAGCCACAATCAGCAATTTATTAACAAACAAAAATTCTTCATTAGAAGTATATGATGAGCTTAAAAAAAATCACATACAGCTAGTGTATAGGTTTGGAAAACCTTGGGGCTCAATCTGCATTTGGTAATAATTCCACCAGAGACAATTCCTCATTCAAGTGGACTGATTATGCTCTTTTCCAAATCCTCAATTTATTGAAGAACTCTACTAGAGTAGCTTTCCACAACTGATGATTTAAAATAATCCTTTCCTTAAAGCTAGCCTCTCTTTAAGACAATTTTTCTGCCCCTCAAACAACAAAATAGGAAGTGGGCGGTGCCCGATATGACCATATTAGGCATCTTTCCCTCTTATTGAAATCATGAAGACACAAGAGTAGAAAAAATGATCTGAAACTATTAGTGTTTTGAGTCATAGGCACTATAGATACATTAGCTGACCTGAGTTTTTGAAGGTTTAATGGCTAATATGAGCACCTACCACTGTTTAAAGGGTCCCTTTAAACTTCTAACATAGTCTCATTTGTGCTTTCTTGGCTAGGACACTCATCTAAAAGAGTTTTAATCCTCTACCTTTTTTCTTTGTTAAATAAAAATAAGTGAAATAAATTTAAATACGAATATTCAATAATATTTATTTTAATTCGCCAAATTCTATTATAAAAAGACGATGAGAAGCTAGAATGTGGCTAAATGAATAATGAATTATCTCTCATTTATTCCATCTTGGGAGCCAGTGGGCTAAACCAGCTGCTTGAATATGAAATAGATAAAACAAACCCAGGTCTAATTATTATTCATAACAACCTGTAAGGCCCAGGCGGCAAATATCTGCAGAATCAGTATTTTTGCTTGCAGTTTATCTGATAATATTCATACTGTTCCTTGAGTAGGAGTTTGTAAGCACTGCTTTTACATGTAGATCTTTAAATTGTCATACTGCTACTTTAACTAAGTAAAGGATCAGAAAAACTGAGAATGATTTAGTTCTTAAAGCCATTAAAGAAAAGTCATCAACAGGCAAACGACAAATGAGAAAGGTTTCCTGTAGCTTCTCACTGACCATATGGAGTGACTATGGCAGAAGTCCAGGGCAGAGATGATTTGTCTGAAGAACTTCCTGGCCTCTTTGGGGGTGAGCCTACCCTTCTTCACCAGGTAATCAAATAACTCTCCGCCAGATACATGCTCCAACACAAGGTACCTGGGTCACAGACAAGAAATAAGTAACATAAAAAACAAAAGGTTTATCTCTGCAGTATATCTTCTATGCCATGTGCTTATTTATCTCGCCTTTGTCTTACAGAACATTCTTCCCTTTTTAATTCAGTGTTGTTTCTGCTCTAGCAGAGATCCAGAAGCAGATTATTTTATGTCAGCAGAAAGGAGAAAGACACAGAGATGTACTCACAGGTATTTGTTATTTTCATAGACATCATGCAGCTTCAGAACATGAGGGTGCTCTATTAGTTTAAGAATAGCTATTTCTCTCTCCACCTGCACAGACGGAGGGAGGGAGAGGTGTAGAGAAAGGTTAAGAGAGAGGGAGAGAGAAAAGAGCAAGTTAGAAATGATAGAAATGGAAATGTCAGACAGAAGAGGAAGGGAAATATGATGTAAGACAGCAAGAGGGAGGACACAAGCATATAAAAAAAGTTGGGTAAAAATTCAGAATAGGCAGACTTGTTTTTCAACTTCTTTTCAATAGTTTGCTACATTTAGTGCAGAATAATCAGAAATAGTAACAAAGTAGAGATGCAATACACAAATTATAATTTAGAACAAAAAGTTCTGAAATTGAAATTGTTAAGAAATCATGAATCAAATGTGCCCTGTTCTAATACCATTATTTACTTTGTGCAAGCTAGTAAGCAGGTCAAAGCCGTAGTAAGCTAGCTCCATTATGCTAGTTACTAATCAAAATGCTAGTTTAAAGCCTGTGTCTTATCTAAACTTTCATGAAGATAAAGACTTGGCATGTACAGAGTGTGACTGTGAATTTCTGGGCCACTATCCAAGTTAAAAATAACAGTTTGGCACAGCCGTTTCTCTTTTGTTTTGTTTGTTTGTCTTTTAACTTTTAATTATAGAAAAATAACCAAACCTTTTAAAAGTATTTTAGCTCTTCACCACACCATCTCTGAACATTTTAACTAGTGCAAAATTGATGTGTCACCGTACATAAACGTGTACCGCTGCAGTAAATATCATCTTACTTTGACAATACGCAGATATCGTTCAAGAAGGCCCGTATTAGCTTATAGAGCTATTCTGACAAATTATTAGTGCATCCCTTTTTAGAGCCTGCGTTTTGTTTTGTTTTTTGTTACTCCTGCTTTATGGATGAATAACATTTACAACTCATAGCTAACAAACCTCCAAAGAAATACATAATTACGTAATTTTGCTGCTAACATTTTAGCCTCTTTTAGCAAGCAGCTTCTTAGCTAGCAGGGCTACTATGGTTGAGTCATTTTGTCTCTCAGAGACCATAGTTCAAATTCCACACAGAATTAATAATTGATGTTAATGATGTTTGGTTAGCATCTGAAAACCAAAATAACTTTCTAGGTTTATGAACTAAAACACGGTTTGGATTCAAATATGGCTGCCACTTTTTCAAAGCTCTGTCAAGGTGACATATCCCTTTTGAAGAGTCCGAAGAGCACAGCTTAAGGCATAAAATCTACTTCCTATTGTAGCACATTACCTGTGTTCAAATGAACCAAAATAGTTCTTTTCGGTGACTGTTTCACATTTTGCCTTGAGACCAGGCCGTGTCAGTTGATTCCAGGAGTAGTTTTCTGTAAAACTTATATAGTCACACTTTTTTTTATTAATCTTTGATCAGTCAAATATGATGAAACCAAAGAAAAAAGCTAGTTTTTCTGTCTAAAGGCCATTCTCAAGATTTATCTGACTAAATTCAGTACTTGTATTTCCTTAGACAGGGGCAGACAGCCCTCATATTAGCTATTGCTAAACTTTTTATGCTTATTGCTTATGTTTTATTACAATACATGAAAATATGGATGCCTATTTTTTAAAAGAAATGTAATTTTAAGTGTTCCTTTTAAATATTTATTCATTCATTCAGCTCTAGTAGCTGTCCACAGCATGACCTATTATAGAGCAGAACACGTGGCAGAGAACTAGGCGCAGCATTGATTTTCCTTCCACACTGCCAGATTGATTGCTGGACAGTAAATTCATGTCATGTCTACTGTCTTTTAAATAAACTTTACAGCTGAAAAATATAGTCTGAAATGCCCTAAAAGTTTAAACAAAGACCTTTGTGAGGCCATTTAAGGACTACTTGTTGTCTATGTAAAACACATCTATGAAAAACTGCTTGGTTTAATTGAATACAACAGGACTGTGACGCAAGAAATATATTTTAAGACAGCATAAAACTAAACATATATGAAAAAGTCTGTAGCCACACAGTGATATCTTTATATTTTGGTAGGAAATTGGGAAATATGAGCAGCAATTTATTGAAACATTCAAAAATGTACAGCAATACAGTATATGACGTAAAAAAAATATTGGTCATACTAAATATAAGTCAGCATTTAGTATGACCACATTTATTCTTCACCATAGTCTGAACTCTGAGGCCATTTTCTTGTCATTTCTTAAACTAGTCTTCAGGAATAGTCCTCAAGGCTTCTTGAAGGACATCAAAAACTCTTCTTTGGAAACTGGCTGCCTTTTGTTGTCTGTCAGCATGATTCCACTCTGCTTCAATACAACTGAGGTCAACTTTCAGATATTGTTCAAGTTTCAAAGAGAGCCACCTGGACTTCTTTTGCATTTCTGAGATGGTTCTCCTTCTTCAGGTCATTGACTGCAGATAGTTTTTAGGCCTGTCATTTCTTTTGTCCACCACTTGTTTTTAAAGACACACCACACATGACAAGATTTGCCATGTTTTGGAATCACTTTGTTGGTGCAAAAATATTTTTTTTTGTCTGTCAAACTGTTCTTTGACATTTTATTTTGCATATTCAGCTAAAGAAATTGGTACAAATTATGTGTTTTTGCAGCACTAGCACTAACTCTTTGCTAAGTTGTCCGTTATGTGTGGACACAGCACTGGTTCATCCCTTGAATTTTGTGCCTTTTTAAGCTTGAGTGATTCAGGGCATTTGTCACGTGCTATTGGTGAATGCTGCTTTTTTCCCAACACAGTTATCAGACTATAGAAAGAAAACATTATTTTGTATTGTTCTGATAAAATAAACACACACATGGAAATGGGACTGGAGCAGGTTCGTGATGTTTAAGCAAAACATACCAGATGTGTGATATATATCTGCCTCACCGTGAAATCTTGAGCTATCCGGTGTTTTTAGGATGCTGACATTTTTGCACATCTTAAAACATATGCTAGCACCGTGCTGCACGTCTAGCGCCTAAAGTGTGCCTTGTGCAACCTGCCAGTTCTAAAAAAGACATACCCTGTAAAGCTCCAAGCAATCAACCACATTAAAAACGCCAACATGAACAAGCTATTTAGATTTCAGTTCAGTCCAGTGTATTTCAGCTGCAGTTGCTTTCATCAGAGGGCTTAATTAGCAGAATGAAATCATCCCTATTGTTCGGTATACAGAAGCAGTGCCCACACACACTCGGCAGCTCCAAGTTCCAACACACTGCCGGGCTTTTCTTGACAAAAATAAAGACTCATTTTCTGCTGCTATTTCTGCAGAGTGCAAGCTTAACATGATTTGAGCTTGGCAGCCACCATAATAACAGCCACAGTGACTATATGCACGGCACAGCTAGAAAGACAGCTGGATAAGTAGATGAGGTGAATTTGGAGTGCTGTACCTTCATTAGAACCGATTCAGAGAGCTTCTCTCTGTTGACGATCTTTATGGCCACCTTCTGCCCTGTTATACAGTGGACACCCAACTTCACAAGTCCTGAGAAGCAAGACAGAGGGAGGAGAAGAGAGCATCTGAATATCGCAGATCATGATGCGGTGTGAATAACAGGAAGGAAGGGATGTCATGATTAATTCAAAAAGCTTTATTCTTCCAACTCAGCTTCAAAAAACTGATTTAGAGTTATCTCCATTCTCAGAAACCTCCTCAAAAATGTTTAGCCTTTGGGAGACCCTTTAAGAAGGCCGTGGAGGGATAAAACTACAGGAGATGAGAAGACTTAGTGTACAGAATAAATACGGATTAAACCATGAGCTTCGATATTACAGAAATGTTAAAGTAGCTTTGCAGTGGGGTGTTACACCCCGGCGCACCTTGCAGACGCCCTGTTTTTTGCGTTACTCTGCAGGGTGCCTACCTGTCTGTCCCTTCCCGAGGGTCTTCTCCAGCCGGTAAGGCCCCACAAACTGACTGGACTGGCCCACCGTCAGCTCTTTGCTGCTCATCCTTCCCGAGATGAAATTCTATTCCAGATATAAGGCAAATCAAGATAGCGCTCGCTCCTGCTCCGTGCGTAATGCCGTAACGCACATTACAGGCGGCTATACGGCGGTGCAGAGAGGAGGAAAGGAGAAGAGAGGAGGTGCGGACTGGTCGTGATCTAAAGCCGGGCCTCGCAGGCTACTCCCATGCAATTGTTTGTCATGCGGTCAGGAGTGAGAACCGGTCCTGTTTCCACTCTGTAAATCCAGAGTCGTTCAAGTCAGTGTTACCAAAGCACAGGAAGCGGCATCATTCAAGGGAAAGGTAGGAAAAGATCAGAGATGAGGACGTGTGAGGTTTAGCCGGTACCAGAGATGGGAGATGTCCACAGAGGTGCGAACAGTCACATTAAACCCACCCCCCTGCTATAAATAACTGTAGTTTAAAGCTGATTGATCCTATATAGCTTATTCAGCTGGCCAAGAGTACAGCAGTAACGAAAAATCTCATTCAGACCTGGACAGGAAGGCTACATTTGCCACAGATTGATTTCTGTAAGAGCAGTCTCAAATATCCGAAGCCAGAATGCCCTGATCGATATCAGGGACCCCCGTTCTTCTGTTGCCGTCCAAAAAAACTGTTTTCATAATCCTTCCGAGCCCATACATTCCCCTCTTCCTGTCAAGTCGGGCCTCATTTGGTCACAATCTGCCTTTCTGTGTAGATGCGGCGTTGCCCAGATAACAATCTATTATCACAAACAGCATCAGCAAGAAGAATGGGTTTTCCAATATCCGGTGCACACTTTGGCTCGCCCCCTCCCCGGCCCTGCATCAGGAAATAGAGGAAGAGGGGGAAGAGCATCAAAAAGGCAAACAGCCTCGGGGGCAGACCGGGCCAGACGGCCGAAAGGCGTGCTGGCTCGGGACAGCTGCAGCGTGGAGAGGTGCGCTCGGTGCGCCGGGGGAAGGATCAGCGCTCAACCCGGTGATTAATCCCGCTTCTAGAAACAACAAGCATCCTCAGCTGGCCTGGTGGTAGCCGACTCCCCGCCTCTCCTCTTCCCCTGCTCCCTCTCCCCCTCCCTCTCTCTTCTTCTCTGTCTTTCCTTTCTTTCTCGCTGGCCGGTTTTGCTCATGATATCACCGCATCTCCTCCCTTAGCCGGCTGCTTCGTGCACAAGGAGCAGAAAAAAAACGCTAAATAAGTAAAAACATTTTAGTTTCGAGTCTTTCAGGTAGTCCGAAGTTGGCCGCATCCATGGGAGTGTTTATCATTGACGGGATGTCCTCCTCTACTCTGCCGCTACCCGTTTTTTACCCCTCTTGTTTCCTCCACCTATTACACTCCTCCTCCTCCTTTTCATGGGTCAGCATCAGCATCCGGGTTCCATAGTTCCCGCCCCACCCCTCCCTGGTGCTACGCCTCTACCTCGTCCAACTCCCCACTCCCCCACCCCACCATCCAACTCCCCACCTCCCCACCATCCAACTCCCTACCTCCCCTCCCCACCATCCAACTCCCTACCTCCCCTCCCCACCCATCCTTTTAACTACTGCAAAGTTCCACAAAGTAAAGTAGAAGTTATAGCGCCAGTTATAATGCAGTCAGTCACGCAATCGATGTGCACATGTTCAGCACACAGAAAAATCTGTTTGGCAAAACTTTTGAACAACACCATAGATGAAGAAAGTGTAAAAGTTCGATTGTATTGTTTCTTTGTTTTTCTGCAGGATAGATGGCAGCTGCTGTCCAGGTTCTGGTTTTAGATTTTATTACTGTATATGACTGCAAAATTGGATGTACTGTAACAGGTTCATTCCATATAAAATGAATCCAGTCTGCCAGTTGTTAACCCCTCAGAATCAGCTTTTTATTTTTCTTTTAATACCTGTCTGGGTTACAGGAAACACTGAAGTAAACGAGGTGGGCATCAAGAACATAATACTACCAGGGTAAAATTTGAAAGGATAACACTGAAAGCACTGAAGGCTCCAAGTGAGTGTTAAAAATGAAAAAACTGAGTGTACTGTATTCAACACATGGAAGGAGTCACAGCCAGAAGACAAGTCTGGTGTCAAAGTGTAGATTAAAAGAAGAACTCTCATATACTATAACTTGGTTTGACCAGCCGCTTATACCTGTCCCACATGCTGTTATCCTTTAACATTTACCCAGAAAGGACTGTTTCAGTTTTTCTTCTAATGCTAATGCTAATCCCCCCATATTTAAGAAGTTATGAACGTTTAAGATTGCAGATAAATAAATAAATGAAAATTTAATTAAAAATAAATATGTAAATAAATGAAAAACAGCCAACTCAGACCTGAGGACCATTACTGCATCTAAGAAACAAAAATGTAATGGTAAATTTTTGTATGCTTTCAACGGTTATGCCAAAGTTGCTATACCAAAAAAAAATATCTGATTCTGTGGGTGTCAGGTGGGAGGCACTTACTAATAAATTTATAATTTGCTTGACTGTCACAGAAATTCAAACTTACAAATATTTTGGGCACTTTGTCATTAATTGTGAAATATATTTTCTGATTACTGAAGTTGAAAATAATTGCAGGAGTTCAGCAAGGCTCTATACTAGGGCCACTCCTCCTCCTACTTGTGGTTGCTAAGCGACGACCTCCCAGTTTGAAAAAACGAATCCAAGAGGATTTAATCAACCCCCAAACACTCCCAAGTTAAATGTCCAACAGCTGACTTTGTGTCAGCTGCCTTTTTAGAGTTTGACAAAAAGAAAACCCCCACCACCGCTTTTTGCCCTTTTGTAACTACTTTGTGGTCTGGCAGCCTGGGATTATTTTATAATGCAGCCTTTATACTCTATTAAGGCTTAAAGTTAGGGGTGTGGCTTCTTAGACTGACAGATGGATCCTAAAAGTGGTGACTTGTGGCCTTGCTGTGTGCAGAACCTCTCCTCCACTAAGTGGAGTCACTGTTTTTGTGGTGCTGGTCCTTTTTAGGTGTGTTTTTGTCGGAATTATCTAACAAATAATGCTTTGTTGCTAATACAAACGGCCTATCCTAGAGGTCTGTGCTCTTGGTGAGTTCAATTCTGATATATGTATGCTCGGCTATTTAGCACCAGTGAGCAGGTATTTGTGACTAGTGTGCTTTGCAAACTTTACTGTTGCTTGTTGATATCTAAGCATGATAACTTAGCACTCGACCCTCTTGTACAAATATGTGCACTTCTGACTCAACCCCCCTCAACATGGCCTAAACACTGACTGCTGGCTGCTGGCAAAAACCAATGTGTGACTTTGTGCTGGTCTCTTACATACAGTTTGTGGTGATCATGCTGATTGTTGTTGTTCTGTTTTCCATCTTAAGAATTTGCTTGCATGACTTTATTCCACCTAAAATACTTTGAGTGCTTCCTTAAGATCCAGCTTGCACTCAAACGTCTCTCTGTGACAGGACTGGCAGCCCCAAAACACTGGAATCAGTTTTTAATGAAGAATAAAATCTATAAACCCACTCACAGCAGTAGCTATTACGGGCTATCAGCCATACTTCACTAAGCTTGTAGCAGTGAGCATTTGATTTCTAGGAGGAAACGTTACTCTGTTATTGGAGGATAAAGCAATGGGGTCAAAAGCAAGAAATCAATCAAGTAAGTGGACAATAAAATCTTTAATAGCAGTTGTTTCCAGGGTCAGGAATAACTTGGCTTACAGGCACATGGTTTGCACATAAGCAGTGTATATATAGCAGCACTCTGGTTTCTTTTCTTTCATTGCTAATCTAGTTCACAACTGATGTTAAGACTAGAGTGTGGCCAGCCATGCTTGAAACATTTAGCATTAGGCTGATCTGTCAAAGGTCTATGAAGTGCTTCATGTATAGCAGACATCAGTGATGCGCACGCACGCATGCACGCACGCACAGAGACACACACACACACACACACACACACACACACACACACAAAAAAAAAACCAACGCAAAACCACTGGGTGCTGCATCACTGTATGTGATTAAATTTCCACATTGTGATAACTGTATGACGTATCCAAATCTTAATCCCTTTTAATCTTAATCTGTGGATAGAGTCAGGTTGATGTAGCTCAGATTATCCTACAGTGCTTTGTGAGTCTGTAAGTCCACTCATGCCAGGTTATCTTTTGTGTCACAGATGCTGTTTTTATCTCATTGCACATTAAAATTCTACATTTGTGCACATTATTCATTAGTCAAAGATAGAGGAGCACAAAACTTGATTTTCACAAGAGTAAAATAAATCTTTTGTTTTCATAGACGAGTCTGTATAACTGCTGGTGTAAGTGCATTTTCCAACCACAGGGTGGTGCTGTTAGGCTACTACACTAGCGTCTTTCTTTTTTCTCCTGATGGAAAGTTGCAGTGTCCATCAGTTTTATAAAAGATTTGAAATTTTGACACATCAGACCACATGGCAGTTTTCTGCCTTAGCCAATGTTAAAGGATTCGTTGACAGAGAAGAAAGGAGCAAGTCTGAATCTTGTTTATATCTGGCTTTGCATTTCTGAGTGTATGGGCAGGTGATCTTCATCCTTCCTTAGCCGCCGTGTATCTTATAGCACTTCATTCCAACGGTTATAGCCTAAAGGGTAGTGGTTTCAAAATGTGGGAGCTTGGCGTGTGCCTGACCAGGTGTTACCAGACCAAGGTTTGTCCACCAAATGCACACCATCAGGCTCCCGTGCAATATCTGGCTCCAAGAGGAGCTTGAATCCATACAGTTCAGTCACTGTGTGAAGCTGGAACCAGTCTGGCATAAATTGGTAGTAACATGGTTGCCAGAATCAAAGGGATGCACAAACATCCGTCGTGACCTCATTTATAGCACCAAAGAAATACATGCAGCTACATGTCTGTGCAGCTACATAGGCTGGTATCTGCACAGACCAAGGAGGACTACTTCATAATATATATTAAAATGTTTGCTTACACACACACACACACACACACGCACACACACACACACAGGCTCTTCTCTGGAGAGTCAGACAGAAATACTGCATCTCCTCCCCTCAGGGGAATCTTCCTGAGGCATTTAGCATTTAGGTTGTTGGACACGGTATATCTGATGTCAAGCACAGAGCAGGCAGTTCGACACTGTGTTCCTGTAACATATGCTCCACGTTATGATTGATGTTACTATTTCTTGTGCTGAAGAAAGGGTCCTTATACAGTCAGGCCTACAGACTGACTGTGGACATTACAGGGATACATGTGCATCTGTGTGCATGTACATTTGAGAATGTAGGACATGATGTGTCCTGTCAGGTAGCTGGGGAATATTTCTGGAAACATAGTGGGGCTGCTCTGACAATATGTGCATATGTGTAGCGTTGCATAATGTGAGCTGCTGGTCACTTTTTCTTCAGTACAGTTGACTTAGACTCTCTGAGTTCCAGATCAGCAGAGGTTATAATCTTAACCCTGCCTTCAACTCATCACAGAAGACGCCTTAGAGCTCAGAGGGCTAAACAGGAAAGACAATTTCAAAGAAGAAGGAAGACCTTAGGGAAAGTGAGTGGAGGGTCTTTGGCTCCCTCTTGTGCTCACTATGGGTACTTTTACAAATAAAGGACAGCCAAACAGACAGCTGACAGTTAAGGCCCATGTTTGAGGCTTCTTACTTGAACAAGTTGAATGACTGGGGGTAGATGTTGAATTTCCCTCTCTTCAGCAATTTATAAACTTACGTAATCCCTGTTTTTGGTGTATTTATGTCAACATGCAAGATATATATGATTATGTATAAGTCCAAATGGTATATAGGATGGTAATATATACTGTAGCACCTATATTGGATTTACTACTTACTCTGTAATACACTGATCACTCTGCAATATTTACACTAGAACAGGAAAACCATAAAAGATTCATGTATAATACTGTTCATTCTGTTACAGTGCAATGTTCTTGATTTCTGACATTCAGTTACCCAATAAACCATCGCTACAGTGGAAGTGGTCTCAGACACCAAAATGCAAATACTGTTGAAGTCCAGTCTCCAAACTCCCTCAGGTCTAAATTTAATCGAGCATTTCAAGGATGTGTCAGAAAAAGTTTGATCTACACAAAGATCTTGATCTACCGCACTTACGTGTGTTGTCAGTGAATTTTAAAAATACAGGAAGTTGTGGACTTACTAGAAAGGACCACTACAATGCTGAACTGTAACTGGCACATTAGCTGCTTGCTCTTTCTTTCTTCTTCTTTTTTTTTCTTGCTAACATTTGTTGCAACTTGTAGAACCTTTGCCCAAACAGTTGTCTTTTGCACTGAGAACAGCAAGATATGTAAAGTTATAATTAGGGATGGGTATTGATAAGATTTTCACGATTATGATTCAATTTTA